GATGCTCTGGAAGAAGTCTCAAAGTCCTCAACTTCTATAGTTCATGTTCCTGTTTCTATTAATACTTCGTCTTCACCTCAGCTACGTGGCCCTGCTTGAACCTATTGTTCTACACATCATGATGAACTCAGAAGCAGCCCATAAATATTAACACGAGAAGGAAGGTGAGGATGGACACTCTCCACCGACTCAAGCAGCCACTCAAACATTATCTTCGCCAACAGATCACTTCTTGGTTCACCACCCATTGTGTTTAGTGAAAATAATCTATTGCCATTCGTGAGGTATAAGGTAATGTACTCAACATTCCATCATTGTTCATTTTGTTTCCTTTACAAATTTGTCTCCATCCTATCGCAGCTTTGCATTAGCTATGTTATCCTTTCATGTTAGTTGTATCTGTCAATGTTTCAACCAAACTCTGTTTTTGAAAATTTCTGCTAGTCTACCGATATAGTGTACACCCCTAGTTAAGGCTCACCTTTTGTTTTAATCTTTTTCTCCTATGGTGATGTGGGGCCTTTCTGTTATGTTTCATAATGCCTTGACACACAGCATAGGACGTGTAAGCTTCATATCACATTTAATGTGAGTGCTCTTTTTCTTTCTAAGCTTGTCATGATGATGCATACCATCATCATTTATCCATTTAAACACTCCTTTTGGTTTCTCTCTTAAGTTTTTTCTTCTTGGAAAATCATATGGCTTCTCACTCCTCACACCAAAATGCATTCATGCCCATTTCGTGCATGATGATCCTCTTCTTACCTACACTGTTGATTTTATAATGATACGAGGTCATCTAGTACAAGATGATTTGGGAAGGAATTTAACAGGTTACTTTCTTGTAACTTTGTTTTGTGCAGGAACTTTTCAGGATCTTTTATTGTATTATCTATTGAAAGATACAATTAAACCTATTCCCGATTTTTTCTGGATCTTTTCTTGTATCATCTATTGATAGATACAAGTCTACATATTCATGTGTTTCATACCCAATCAAAGTCTTTTAGACATTATTACTAATTCGAAGCAGTATTAGTTTCTTAAGCTGCACTAAGTAAGAGAGACATTTGTTGTTACATCGAATTATGGTTTCCAATCGATGTTTAATGGTACCGATTGGAAGACATATTCCAATCGATGTTTATTGGTACTGATTGGAAGACATCAGTTTTCATTGTTGGCGGTTTTAGGCGAGTCACTTGAGCATGCAACTCAAAGAATCAAAAACAGTAAAATTGATCTGGTAGTATCCTAGGGGTGTAACAGCCGGAACCGAATGCATCTCAGATTTTTGCGGAGTCGAGGGCATTTAATACTTCAAAGAAAGTGAGTTCTCTGTACCTCCAGATCCTAAACCTTTCGTCTTCCTAAACCTTGTTAGCAAATTTCAGTGAGCTCCCAAATTTACGGGACTCAACAAAAAACCCAACATTTCAATCCCTAAGTCTTATGAGGAAGCACTTTTTCATACTGGGTGAAGGAAAACAATGGAAACGGAAATGGATGCACTCAACTGGAACGATACATGGCAGCTCGCTTAGTTGATAGCTGGAAAAATGACTATTACCTGTCAGTGGGTTTATGCAATAAAATATCAGTCTGATAGCACTGTTGAGAGATTAAAAGCCATAATGGTTGCCAAGGATACACCCAAACTAATGGCATTGATTACTCTGAAAGTTTTGCTCTAAGCTTATATGTACAACAACAAACAAGGGCTGACCACCGTTGCAGCTTGATGACAAGAATGCCTTCCTCCATGATTATTTACAAAAAATGTATATGGATCAACCATCAAGGTTTGTTGCTCAAAGGGAGTCAGACAAGGTATGCAAGTTGAAGAAAGTCATTACGGTCTGAAGTAGTTCCCACGTGCATGGTTTGAGAAATTTAGTGAAATTGTTGTGGCATATGGATGTCAACGCATCTATGCAAAGCATTAGGTGTTTATTTGGAAAGAGGACTCCAAGATAATTGTCTTAGTTGTTTATGTTCATAATATTGTCATTACAGACAATGATCAAGAAGGAATCAATCATTTAAAGTGAGATCTAAAAATTGTGTCAGCAAGGGTATTTTCTAAAAATTGATCAGACAATGTGTCAGCAAGGGTCTTTTCTAAAAATTGAAGTAGCCACATCAAAACATGGCATTAGCTTGTCTCAGAAAAAGTACATTACTTATTTGCTGACAAAAAATGGAATGTTAGTTCCACGTGCTTTTAGTGAAAAACTTAAAAAGAAATGAATCCCTTTTGTTTGGTCAAAACCTCACCTCGATTCAAAACCCGAAAATGATGAACAAAGCTTGTATCAAATCTCTCCCTATCATAGGGATTCTAGATCTAGATTTTTCAGAGCAGCAGTCCAACATTCCAAGGTAGATTGCGATGGGATAAGGAATTTTCAGGCGATGATTGAATCAACACCAGCCAATGAAGCCTTAGCAATAGGATTCATTGACGGCCACTGAAAAAAGGAGTTTCGAAAGGAAAAATACTAGGAGAAGCCAAGGTTAGGGTTTCTAAACTTAATTTTATTAAGTTATTGACAAGAAATTTGAATTTTTTTTTTTTTGAGAAGAGTTAACTGACAAGAAATTTGAAATTACTAATTTCAAAAGGATTGACAAGTGAAGGCAGGGTTACGAATTTGAAAGAAATCTTTTATATTATTTTTTTCCTCATTTTTTTTTCTTTCTTTTTTTTTATTTTTTATTTATCAGGCCTTTTCCCTATTTTCTTTGCTTTTTCAGGCCATCTTTGAACTCTGCGCCAACTCAGGCAAGTCAGCTTGTTCTCGCTCGAGTAACTCAATCCAGCCAGCAATTGAGTTCCTTGGCCAAGTTGATTTTTCAAGCGCTTTCTCCACAAAATCCATTGCCCTATTTCTATACCATCAACTTCCCACGCCCTAATAACATAGCAACCTCCTTTTGAATTCCATAAACATATCCTTAAGCCCTCAAAGCCCAATTTGGCCTCGATCTCAGATTGTTCCCTTCAAACCCAGCCATCTAAAGATTTCCAGGAATATTGACCTCCATTAAACCTTTAATTCAATTCCTAAATGTTCCCACCAAATCCATCACCTATTTCTATGCCATCAAATTAACCCTTCCCACGCCCTACCAACATAGCCTCCTCCTTTCCAAATCCATAATACATATCCTTAAGCCATCAAAAGCCCAATTCGGCCTCAATTCACTTTGTTCCCTTCAAACCCAGCCATCGCCCTTGCTGCACCTGCAGATTTCCAGTAATATTGACCTCCATTAAAAACTTTAAATGCAATTTCTAAATGTTCCCCAAACCATTTTTCCCTAACCCTAACTCCTTCCCGACTGTCGTAAACTTCAAATCATCCTCATGCATTGAATGCCAGAACAGCAACTTTCATTACAGTCAAACCTTAGACCCGAATAACCAAAACCCAAACCTTAGTATCCATAAAACCCAGAATTCCTAACCCTTTGTAAGCCCTCCAATCATGTTACACTCATGCAGTGTTCGAAAATTTGGCCGACCAGCCGCCTAGGCGACCAGTCGCCTAAAATGCCTAGGCGGAACCTAGGCGGCTTGCATCCAGGTGGCCTCGTAGGCGCCGCCTAGACACAAGTTGCCGAGGGTGGAAAAATGCCTCGGCTACGGTCAGAATAGTAATTTCCCACCCCCCCTAAAAGGGGGGAGGGGAAAGGGTTTGGGGGGATATTCTAAACCCCCCAAACCAAATCCATGCCATCTAGAGGGAGAAAAACTCCCCAAAAACCTCCATTTTGTGATTTTATCGAAGGGGGTGAGGCTTGTATTAGGTTGCCTCCTTATACTATAGAAGTAAGACGCACCTTTAAAATTTACTTAGAGATGTTGTTTGAGCGCTGGAAGCCTTATGATGGCTTCAAAATCTCTTTTTATTCTCAGTTATAAAATTTAAAATTTTAAAAATGGTATATATCAAGCAGATCAAGAAATACTTAAAAATCTTGAAAATAGACGGTCTCAATAACTTCCTACAAGATGCACTATTTTTGGACTTGGAATTCTTTTTCTTCTTCATGTCCATTCATCTCAAGGTCGAGATGATCAGTTGGAGGGTTCTCCTCTGCCGGAATACGCTCCAATGTAGGACTTTTGTGGTGCACCTTACTTCAACAGTACAAGGTTGCGACCTTATATAAACTTTTTCCTTTATCGAAAGATCAATAAATTTTCGATTTTTTCAATTTCTTCCGAAATCAAAGGCAATGCTTCATGGAAGTTTTTGGAGGTTCTAGTGGTCAATTGTGAGGACTTTCGGCAACCGAATAGACAAGGTTTGGGCACATTATTTTCATTTTGATATTCTTAGAGCATTATGCCATTATGATATTTGAATAAGGGTTTTAAGTTTTTTTGCTATAACGTATTATGTTTTGAATCATTTGATTTTTTTTTTTTTAACTTTTTTGTCTTTTTAGGATATATTTACATGTTTGTAGTTGAAAGATTGATTTTTTTTGTGATTAGTTGATTATTAACTCGTTTGGACGATGAAATTTGTCCTATATCGAATTCATTTATGAATACAATGTGTGATGTTTTGATATCCTATTAGTTTTGTTTCACTTTTTTGATATTTTTACATATTTGTAGAGGGCACATTTACCGATTTGGATTTATATTTTGTGATATTAATAAATGATAATCATATTATAACTTCTATCTTAATTAATAGTCCCTACCCATCTAGGTGACCAGGCCCCAAAACTCCTAGGCGGGCGCCTACGCCTTTTTTAACATTGCACTCGTGTAGGAGCCTAGCCCTAGTGATTCTACATCATTCCTTTTAGTGGTATTGCACAAGCATGGCTAACCTTCAGTTCTGGTCTCCTTCACAGCCTACACCTCATGTGTGTGCATCCTATAGGAAAGACTATGCATACATTATAAGAAATGAACCCCGAGAAAGAGTAACATATGATCTCTATAGTGGTTAACAAAGTTTCAGTGAATTTACCTGCAACCCTTTTACTTGCATTTGCTGAATTAGTTCAGTAAAAACACCTACAGATGCAAGCAAAGATATTATTAGAACCAACACACAAAACACTACATGCAACGACATCATAAAGTTTGCAAAGTACCAAGTCCCATCAATATATACTAATCACCACTGCAGAAATGAGAAAACATTTCTCAGATGAGTATTAGACCATATTGAATCTGCAATATATGCCCAAATAACCACTGCAAGCATATAAAAGATGAAGAACAAGAAGTATTTGTTTTTACATTTGTGATTACATCCTAAGCAAAATAGTGATGCAACATGTGAATAGTTGAAGTCCTAAACAAGTATCTAAGAGTAGCTTGGGACTAAAAATGGCATCTAAAGTTTCAAATGAAACCAAGAAATGCATAAGGGACACACCTATTTATGCTTCAGAGAAGGAATGGTTCTAAATTAACTGATGCAATTCTCATGTCCACAATTGGTTTTCCTTAGCAAAACTTGTACTTGTCATAAACAGTGAACAAAAATTCGGCCACCTAGCCGCCTAGGCAGCCTAGCCGACAAACTGCCTAGGCAGTGGGGTTTGGGCAGGCGCCTAGGAGGGCTCAAGGCGGGTGCTTAGGCTGTCAAGGCACCCACCTAGTGCCATCGCTTAAAAAAATTCAAATCCACCAAATCAAAAAATAAAGCATGGTACTGCCCTTCTCTCTCTCTATCTCTCTCTCGGACCATGTGCTCGCTCTACATATGAAAAGAAAAACGAAGATGGACTCTAAGTGTTCGATGCGCAGTCTCTCTCTCTCACACACACATACACAAAGATACACATGGACCAATATGCTCCCTCTTTACATGTAAGAAGAAGAAAAAAGAAGAAAATGACATTCAAGTGTTTGATGCAAGGTCTCTCTCTCTCTCTCTCTCTCTCTCTCTCTCAACATATCCACCATGTGTTCGAGACCTCTCTGTCACAAATACAAATCCAAAAGAAAAAAAAGAGGATGATCTTTAAGAATTTCATGCGAGACCTCATGCACACACATAAGTGTGCATGCACATACATACACTAAACACATACACACATTCATAAAACACACACATACAAAACAACATGTGGCCCCTACCCAACTCCCTTCCCTTAGGGCCGCTCAGGTATCTAGGCGGCCGCCTTGGTGCCTAAGCGGCCCAAACCCCTGTCCCCCTAGGTGGCCCAGACCCCTGGCTGCCTAGGCGGCCGCATCCGCCTTTTTGAACCTTGGTCATAAATTATGTGCGTGAAAATGAATACTACTTTTTATTATTAAGATGACAATACCACTCTAATGCAGATTACAGAGACATGAAGAATTTTGTTGATCTTCCAGGTGGCCTAACTTTTCTTTGCTAAGCTAGGTGCTCTATCTTCTAAATTATTATATGAAACATTCCGATTACCTCAGTTCGCTATCTTCTGCTTCGAGATTTATTTCCCACTTTCCAAACAAATAAAAGGCGACATTTTAAGGAGGGTAACAAAAGAAAAGGAAAAAGGTTTTATAACACCTAGGTTTTATGATAAAAAGTAAATCCACACCTTAAAAAGCTGCCAGAAAAAGTAGTTTCCGTGCCTGAATTAGCAAACCATTTTTCAACCTCTTCCTTTGACATGTGAATATTCCTATGGAAGTAATACTATTAGTTGATGCATAATGCCCAGATGGTGAAACAGATTGTTTCATACAGTCCTCAACTAAAATAATAGTTAAGATGAGAGTTAACCAGTGTTCAAAAAAGCGGACCGCCCAATACCTAGGCGATCCAGAAGGCCTGGGCGATGTGCCCAGGCCTAGGCAGACAAATTGGGTGGTAGTCCCTAAGGGCGGAAATTTTTCTTTGTTTTAGTTGTATTAATTTTTTTTGAAATATAAAAAGTTTGAAGGATGGGTTTTAGGTTAATTTCAAACCTAAACCCACAAGAACTCATTTTAGAGAGAAAGAAACCTCAAGAACACTAAATTTTGTGACTTTCATTGGATCGAAGTGTTTCTCAAAGTTATGAAAAACGGATCCAAACATCACCCAGGTAGATTTGATTTAGTTTTGGAGTTTTATAATCCTACTTGAGGGTGTCTTTTATTATTTTAGCACCAAAAAACATCTCAGAGGCAGGAGTTTGGAGTTTGGAGTTTGGAGTTCGAGCAATCAAAGTAAGTGCACAAATTTATTTTTTAGATTTTGCTTGTTTTATTTTGAGATGTCTACTTCAAGATCTAGTCGAAGTGGAGATCCGGGTTGGAAATATAGATATAACCCGAATCCAAATTGGCCAAAATTGCATTAGATGCAATTTTTATAAAAATATAAGAAAGGGGGCATAAACCGGTTTAAGAAACATCTTGCCGGTATTAAAGGGGATGTTGCACCTTGTAAAAATGTTCATGAAGGTATCAGAGAGGAGATTAAGCAATATATGAGTTTTGTAAAACAAAAACACGAACAAAATCCTTGTCATTTGAATAGATCAATTCTACTACTTCTAGAAGAAGTGATCCGGGTTGGAAGTATGATTCTAACTCAAAATCAAACGATAAAAATTGTATAAGGTGTAATTTTTGTGAAAAAGATACCAATGGGGGGTATTAACCGATTCAAGAAACACCTTGCTGGTATTAAAGGGAATGTTGCTTCTCGTAAAAAAGTTCCTAAAGCTATTCAGGATGAGATTAGACAACTTCTAAAATAAAAAGAACCAAAAAATGATGAAAATGATCCTTGTGCTATGGAAATATCTTCTCCAGGTTCTTCTAGAAGTGGTGATCTGGGTTGGAAGTATGGTTATAACCCAAATCCGAATGACAAAAATCGTATTAAATGTAATTATTGTGGAAATGATACTAATGGGGGGAATTTACCAGTTTAAAAAATAACTTGCCGGTATTAAGGGGGATGTTGCCCCGTGTAAAAATGTTCTTGAGGCTACCGGGGAGGAAATTATACAATATTTGAGTTCAAGGAAGCACAAAAAGATAGAAAAGGGTAGAGCAGCCAAGACTCCTAGGGCTTCATCTGCACATACTAGTAAGAGGGAGGTAGAAAAAGTGGAGGAAGAAGTAGATTCAGAAAAAAAAGAGGAGGACGAGCATTATATTGAAGAGGGAGATGACTCTGATGATGGTGGCCTCAATTCTGATGCACATGATGAAACTTACCCTATTCCTTTTGATGATGACTGAAGACTCTTGGTGTTGAGTATTGAGTGTTGACTCTTGTGTTGAGTCTTGAGTGTTGACTATTGTGTCCTAGACTGTATATTTTCTGAATTTCTCAATATTTTATTTTTCTTATTTTTAGTTTCTAGTTCTACTTTCTAGTTTCTAGTTCTACTATCTAACTTTTGTGTGTACAGTCTACAGTGTATCAAACTATCAGTGTATGCTTGTATCGTTTTACTGTTTTAGCATTGTATGAAAATATGGATTATGTTCTTATGGACTATCAAAATTCTCTTCTTGACTTCTATCTTTTTTAAAAAAAACTAGGATTATGGTCTTATGGATTATCAAAATTCTTATGGATTATGGTTTTATGGATTATCAAAATTCTTATGGATTAATCATTATCAGTCATCACTCGTCAGTTATTTTTTTTTTTTAACTGGCCCGCCTAGGCGCTGAGCGGCTTGGACCCCATGGCCGCCTGGGTGCCACTTAGCGCTTTTTTAAACTATGGAGTCGACCAAGGCAAACAAGGCCAACTCAGCTAGGGACCATGCATTGATTCAAAAAGTGGTCCGCCCAATACCTAAATGAGATGGGGGGCCTGGGCGGACCAACAAGGTAAGTTGTCCTGGGTGCCTACCTAGGGACCTTAGGCGCCCGCCTAGTACCCGCCTAAGTGGGTGCCTAGGGTACCTGAGCCTGTGCCTAGGGGATTGCACCCGACTAGGTGAAAAAATACCTATCAGGTGGGGTATTTTTGGTTTTTTTTTTTTGTTTGGATTATAAAAAATGCATGAATATGCATACTTTGTAAAAAAAAATATGTACTCAAAACAGGGTTACTTGACACCATTTGCCCCCTTTTGAACCTAAGCCGCCTAGGTTCTAAGAGATTGACTAGGTTCGGAGCAACCGCCCAGGCGTTGGGCAGCCTAGACCCTCCCGGTCGCCTAGGTGTGCCCAAGCGTTTTTTGGAATACTGGGACCATGTCAAATTGCAAGCATAATCCATTGTTCTAATATTTTCTTAAAATATAACTCGCAAAGGTAAATATAGAAATATGTTTATATATATAATCATCGTCTATGATGCCCACAAATTTTTGTCTACCCTAAGTAGCAACATATCAACCAGGCCTAGAAAGCTCATGTCAACATCAAGATATGGAAAGCCACAAACAAACAAAAAGTTTGCCAAAGCCAAGGATAAGGTAAAAATTAAGCAAGAGGGAGGTTACAGCCCAAACCAACAATTATCAACACTAAACTGCTCTACCAGTTGACATCCAAGTGACAACCTCAAGTGATAACTCCACCAAATAGAAGTAAAGGAGAGAACAATTCAAAAGTTAAATCCGAGAGAGAAAAAAAGACAGTGTGTAGAACAAGGAAACCCTTTGAAATGGCTCGTTGCTTCTCAAAAGCTAAGGTTTTGATTTCCATGCAATAGAAACACAAACATCTAGCCATAAACCTTATACCAACAAAGACAAGAAATGTAAAAGCATATGTAAGCAAAAAAACCAAAACAAAAAACAGAACAAACAAATGATGAAATATTCTATCTTGGTGGTTACCAACACAGTTCAATACATGAGCCTGATCCATTCCGAAGAAGACATCAAATCAAAATCACAAAATTTCTAGCATAGTTACCACTAGGACCAATAGCATATAAATGTAAAACAATAAATTGTTCCATGTGCATCAAACATCAATAACAGCAACTTAAGGTCAATGAACTTCAATGAGTGCCTGAGTGGAATGTTCATCTAATTTTTAATTACAGAAGAAAGACATAGTCAACATGCAACTCATCCTGGTTTTATAATAAAAACAAATGAAAAGAAGGTTCCGGAAATAAAATAAAGTACAATGTTTCACCATCATTCAAACTGACCTGGATCAGACTCAATTGTACACCAAGACATTTTTGAAATATCTGCAGAAGTTGAATATGGATAGAAGGTCACAAGTTGTTTCTGCTTATAAGGCAAATCAATACAATAACAAGAAATTTCGGCAAAAGTAGTTTCCAGTCTATAGGAATAGCAACCTCAGAAGACAAATGTTAAACATATATATATATATAT